CTTGTGTTATCCCTGTGTTAACCTTGTGTTAACCTTGTGTTATCCCTATGTTAACCCTGTGTTATCCCTGTGTTATCCCTGTGTTATCCCTGTGTTAACCTTGTGTTAACCCTGTGTTAACCTGCATAAGACAAATAAACACAACTTGAACTTTTAAAATAGCCGAGTTATTTGTTTGCAAATTACATTGCCATGGTAACTCGAAACGCTAATAAATGTAACAGCACATATCACGGTGCCGAGCATGTCGTTTTGATGTAACAGTTGTGAGGGTACACATAGTGGTTCGGGCCACATTAAAGTTGATAGAAGAACAAGACCCTCTTCAGGTGGATGATAATTGGCGTCAGCCTTACTGGTCAGTCCCCATTGATTCTTTTTAGTGAACCAAAAATCTTGTGTTGTTGTGATGTACCATTCCTGATGCCTGATCTACTCGTCAGCACCAGTTTTCTGGCTCCTCGTTCAATCAGCCACTGGGCGAGCTCCAGACCAAAACCCCCGAGTCCTCCAGTAATGATGTAGGAGTGAGATGCAGGGCAGAAAGTGCGACAGATAGCTGGGAGAGACAGCGGGGAGGCAGGCTGAAGGGCCGAACCCTGTTCCTCAGAGCGGATCTGCATAAAAAGAACAACTTACAGTCATGATTACTGTGACATGACATTCACAAGGATTTATTTGTGATGTGGGAAGTCTAATCCCGTCACAGTCGGAAAGTAAATTAACCTGCAGAAGGACTTTGCCGATATGCTTGCCCTGGGCCATGTATCTGAATGCTTGCTCAACCTTGTCCCTCGTAAACACAGTGGTTTGTAGAGGTTGAACGACACCTGTCGTGATGCCCTCCTGTAAAAGCTGAGACACCTCTTCCCACTCCCTGTTTCCCTCCTCAAACAAAGCATCCAGCAGGATGCCATGGAAGGCCACGTTCTTCAGGAAAAACGCCATCCCTGAGGAGTTCACAGAATGAGAAGGCATGATGAGTTAGCTGTGGCTTGCTGCCAACTCAAAGTCAACGATTCAAAGAAACGTTACGTAGTCATTTTAACAAACCAACTCATTTATAGACTCTACATTTTAAATCTAATAAAATTCAGATGACATAATACACAATTTTACGTGACGTGAGAACAGTAGAAGCAGGGAACGACTCAAATACTAACAGCAGATCAACTCAATATTTGTAAAATTGACTGAGTTGTAGCAGTTTTTGCTGCAAGTTTCATAAAAATTCAACAAACGGTTCAAGAGATACTGTGACTTCAACAGTCAATGCCAACGTTTAAAAGCAAAGATGCTGGACATGTCTTTGGTGGGAGAGACCGATTTAAAATGACATTTGCAATGGTACCAGAAGGTTGGAACTGACCCAGTGGGGAGTTGTTGGCGAGGTCGTATTTGCCGATCTCCAAGAATCGTCCATGTCTGGCGGTGCAGCGAACGCTTGCCTGCAGCTTCTCCTCAGCTAGAGAGTTTAACACCACGTCCACACCTAAAGCATGCACACAACGTTCCACATGAAGCTGGGCTTATTCAGCAGCGTTGTTCACAAACACTGAAAAGTTTTCTTGTACAGATGCATTAAAACAAGAAGCAGGGACAATATGAGAACATGTAAATAAAAAAACAAACAGGGATGCTCAAATACATTTGATCCCCCAATGTCCAATTCTTACCAATATGGTGATAAACCCAAACTTAGTCAGTTGAGGACAAACACCCAGCATAAACCCAAACTGAGGTTTTCCACATGTTTTCAGCAACACTGCACACGTGTTTGTATTTTAAAGCCATAGTTTTGGTCATGAAACACAAAGTGTGGTCCTAAATTAAATAAATGAAATATGATCATAATGGCAATGATCCAGAAGCCTCTCCTGACACTGCCACAACGATCTCAGGTTGTTTGGTTCCTCTGGTTTGTCAAGTTCTCACAGTCTGTAATGATGTGAAGCCCCAACATGTGAGGTGACTGCACACGCACAAAGGAAACGGCGATGTATACAAACGGTCCAACGAGAGCATGGACGCCACAAAACATCCTCTGAGATGAGCAACGGCTTCTCTCTCAGTTATTTTACTTACGACAGAGCTGCCTGTTGCCATCCTTTTATGGCATTTAGGGAAAAAAGGGGATTATAGGTGGGAGGCGGGGGAGATTAAAACAATTCACGTAAGGAAACAAAGGTTAAAACACAAATTATTCTATTGTTTTGTATTGTTTGGTCAGTTTTTCTGATCTTTATCAGCCCCATTTGATGCTGCTGAACTAAACTGAGTAGAAACATCAACGTTCATGCTCAATAATCCAGGAATAAAATCCAACAATGTTCAGTGAGGGCATCTGAAAAATCATCCAGATGACCTGACTTGAGTAGACTTTTCTCGTTTTCAAATCTTTTAGCCAACCTGGTGTTTTAGCTAACCTGGTGGGACAAGTTTGAAGCAGATCTTGAAATAACTCCAGTCTTCTCAATTTACAAGAAGTTCATACAAACCGGATTCCAAAAAAGTTGGGACACTAAACAAATTGTGAATAAAAACTGAATGCAATGATGTGGAGGTGCCAACATCTAATATTTTATTCAGAATAGAACACAAATCACAGATCAAAAGTTTAAACTGAGAGAATGTTTCATTTTAAGGGAAAAATCTGTTTCCAAATTTCATGGAGTCAACAAATCCCAAAAAAGTTGGGCCAAGTCCATTTTTACCACTGTGTGGCATCCCCCCTTCTTACAACACTCAACAGACGGCTGGGGACAGAGGAGACCAGTTTATCAAGTTTAGAAATAGGAATGCTCTCCATTCATGTCTAATACAGGCCTCTAACTGTTCAATCGTCTTGGGCCTTCTTTGTCGCACCTTCCTCTTTATGATGCACCAAATGTTCTCTATAGGTGAAAGATCTGGACTGCAGGCTGGCCATTTCAGTACCCGGATCCTTCTCCTACGTAGCCATGATGTTGTGATTGCTGCAGAATGTGGTCTGGCATTATCGTGTTGAAAAATGCAGGGTCTTCCCTGAAAGAGATGACGTCTAGATGGGAGCATATGTTGTTCTAGAACCTGAACATAGTTCTCTGCATTAATGGTGCCTTTCCAGACATGCAAGCTGCTCATGCCACAAGCGCTCATGCAACCCCATACCATCAGTGATGCAGGCTTCTGAACAGAGTGTTGATAACAAATTGGGCTATCCTTGTCCTCTCTGGTCCGGATGACATGGCGTCCCAGTGTTCCATAAAGAACTTCAAATTGTGACTCATCTGACCACAGAACAGTCTTCCATTGTGCCACACCATTTTAAATGACCCCTGGCCCAGTGCAAACATCTGAGCTTGTGGAGCTTGCTTAGAAATGGCTTCCTCTTTGCACTTTAGAGTTTCAGCTGGCAACGGCAGATGGCACGGTGGATTGTGTTCACTGACAATGCTTTCTGGAAGTATTCCTGAGCCCATTCTGTTATTTCCTTGACAGTGGCATTCCTGTTTGAGGTGCAGTAACGTTTAAGGGCCCGGAGATCACGAGCATCCAGTAGAGTTTTATGGCCTTGACCCTTACGCACAGCGATTGTTCCAGATTCTGTGAATTTTTTGATGATGTTATGCACGGTTGATGAGAACTTAAAAGTCTTTGCTATTTTACGCTGGGTAACACCATTCTGGTTTTGCTGCACTATCTTTCAGCGCAACAATGGTGGAATTGGTGATCCTCTTACCATCTTGGCTTCTGAGAGACACTGACACTCTGAGAAGCTCTTTTTATACCCAATCATGTTGTCAATTGACCTAATTAGTGTTAATTGGTCTTCCAGCTGTTCGTTATATGCTCAATTTCCTTTTTCCAGCCACTTATTGCTACTTGTCCCAACTTTTTTGGGATTTGTTGACACTGTGAAATTTTGAATCAACATATTTTTCCTTTAAAATGTTACATTTACTCAGATTAAACTTTTGATCTGTCATCTATGTTATATTACGAATAAAATATTGACATTTGCCATCTCCACATCATTGCATTCAGTTTTTATTCACAATTTGTTTAGTGTCCCAACTTTTTTGGAATCCGGTTTGTACAAACCCTACTTCATGTACTTTTACATCCGTCATCTTCACGTTACACAATTCTTTTGGTAGAAATAGTTGAATATTCCTGCAGGAAGTGCCTCATGCTGCTCCAGCTAACGGCTGCTGACACAATTTCCTGTTGCAAATGACCACAGATTTGCTTTTTAAATAAGTGTGTAATGCAAAACTGACAGAACAAAAGTTCATAGATAACATTCTCACTCACAGATATGAACATTTAGGAGTTGGGAAGTTGTTTTAACACACCAGAACTTGGCTGCATTCGGACTAGTCATTAGCTCATCAGTCTGACGAGAATCAAAACTTTTTCCTAAACAGATCATTTAAGTGCCATCTATAACAGGTAAGATATTTATTTCTTTTTTTTTCCACAGAGTGTTCAAAAATATTTGAGCTATCCTTTTTAGACAAACATTTTACAGTGTGTTTCAAAAATGTAGTATTTTCTTTTGACATGCATTAGAAAGGCCAAGAGAAAACACAAACATTGCAGGCACATCTCAAAAAATTAGAACATCGTGAAAAAAATAATAAATATATATATATATATATATATATATATATTTTTTTTTTTTTTGTCAATGATTTCAGAAAGTGAAACTCATGCAGTCATCCCTCGCTATTTCACGATTCACGTCTTGTGGCTAAAACACCACTACTTCACAGATTTTCACTTATCGTGGGGCTTCTGGAACGTAACCCCTGCAATAGAAGAGGGATTACTGTATTATATAGATACAGTACACAGAGTGAAATATTTCAAGCTTTTATTTCTTGTACTTTTGATATTTATAACTTTCTTTCTATATCTGTAAGCCATAATCATCAAAATTACAAGAAATAAAGTCTGGAAACATTTCACTGTGTAATGAATCTACTGTATGTAATATAGTCCCTTTCTGAAATGATTGAGAAGAAAATGAACTTTTTCATGAGATCCTAATGAGACACGCCTGTAGATGAAGCTCAGTCATTACAGCATGAGGAGGGGTCTGACCTTTGCCCTGTGTGTGGAGCAGGATGTGCTGCTCAAACGACGCGTCTCTGGAGTTAGCAAAAGATTCTGCCGACAGCTGAGGGAACCGCTCCTGCAAGTAGGCCCGCTTCTCTGATGAGCCTTTCCACACAAAAAAACGTTGCACATTAAAAATTATATAGAACAAGACAGAACAGTCTCATCATTTATAGTCACTATGGAAATGGAAACATCACATTATAATTAATGTCCATAACTTTTGTGCTCTCTCAGCATTCATACAATGTTTTACAGTTCAGTTTCTTTTGTCCATTTTAGAGATGTAACTACTCCTGCACTTTGTGATTTGTTAAACAGTTCAGATATCAGAGCATTCAGCTCAAGAACAGTGTGCTCTTTTTAATATTTGTAAATGTTCTACTTCTGCATTTACCTTTATTTACAATTATTTCCATATAGAAACACAGAAATTTTTACAATTTTCTTTAAAATCATTGTTCTCTGAAATTTACTTCAGCATTCTTGCTTTATTTGTGTCTTATTTTGATCATTTAAACTTTGACGATTTTCCTAGTTTTTCTTTTTAGTTACAGTTTTGATCATTAGAGCTTTTAGCTATGATTGTGCTAATGCTGTCTTTTAACTCATGTTTTGCTAATATCACAATTTAGCTTCTGTTTTTCTCATTTGAACTTTTAAATACCGTTTTGATTATTGTTGATTTTGCTGATATTTCTGTTCAGCTTGTTTAAGTTTATATAATTCACTCAAAGATTTATTCTTCAACAAATCTCAGCAGTCATTCAGCACTCAGGGTTTATGCAGAAAATGCATCATCTCTAATTTAATATGATTTATTATTATGAATCATCAGTGCAACATAGCATCTCCAGTGCAATGCACGTGCAATCATTTCTTTAATAGTGTGCCTTCTGACTGTTCTTTTATTCTTAGTCATTTTTCTCAAATCTTTTTCATCTTTAGTGTTTTGACTCTGTAAGGACAACACTTAATTTCACTGTACTTGTTGCAGTAATGATATTCTGATTCTGAGAATACTTGCAGTACATTGTCATAATATAATTTGAGCTTTTTTTTTGTTTCCAAACCAAAGATAAAGTAATGTATCCCATCTGATACTAGAGCTGTTACCATCTCTGCTGCATACTAACCAACAGTAGTAAAAACTCTGCAGTTCTTGCTGAGTGCTATTGCGATGGCCGCTTGTCCGACTCCCCCTGAACCTGAGTGGATCAGAACAGTTTCACCGGGACGAAGCCTTCCACGGACCACCAGGGAGTAGTAGGCAGTGGCATAGACCACCGGCACCGAGGCTGCTTGCTCCAGTGTCCTGCATACACCAACAATTTACACACACACACACCTTAGACCAATGTAGAATCTCCAGGTAACCCAACATGCTTGTTGTTGAACCTGGAGAGAACCCACAATTAATTTACCAATTTATTCCAGTGAATACTGATTAAATACGCAAGATTTTAGTGGCATATAAAAATATTGAGATTCTCTGTTTCTCTCTCTCTCTCTTCCTTGAAGCCTAACTTTTGTATTATGTAATGTGAACACATGAAAACATTTATCTATACAACTTGACAAAAAGTCAAAAGCACCACACAGACATTAGAAAGTCATGAAAATAGTCCGATGTGGTTTGTGAAAGAGAAAAACATTAGGCAGCGTGTAAAACCTAATGAAGGCTACAAAAGGAGCTACAGGGGAACTAAAGATCTCCGTCTTGGACAGTTCAACAGATATTTGACTTTTATTTCTACAATTAAAAAATGTTTAAAATGTCCCACTGACCATGTGACAGGAACTTCCCAGAGGAATTGTTTATCTGCGTCCACAGTTGTTGCCAGACCTTTAGCAGGGAGAAGCCCCATCACACGCTGACCTTTGGGGTCACGACCAGAAAACTCCATCCCCAACAAACAATGCTGCAGAGCTGGCTCCCCTGCACACATGACGACCAACGGGAAAAGTCAAACTCTCTGCAAGTTGGTACGTTGTGAGAATGTGTTAATGTGCCTTCTGTTTTTTAGTTAAACAACAGATGAGAGCAGTTTAGGAGCTACTTTCAGCGTTTGCAATTTAAATATTTCTTGTGGCGACTGCAGCAGATACCACAAATTTTATTTAAAATCCAAACACTTGGCTGAACAAACGCAGTTCACCCAGCGAACTCTTAGAGCCAACAAACCACACGCTGTGTTTGCACAGAACAATGCTAAGCAGGTGACTGAACCATCTGTCTGGATAACAAACGATGAGAAAAAATGGTTTTGTTGCCTTTAGAAGCTGTTGCAGTCAGAATATGTCCTACTCTCCTGACACTACATAACCAACAGAGCGCGCGCGTGTGTGTGTGTGCATGTGTGCGTGTGTGATTGTTTGTTTCTACTGTTAGCAAATTAACTTGAGAATAGAGTTTAGAACAGATTTTAATGAAACTTTTCTCTGGGTGTGCATCTAGAACAGATACATTTTGGAGCTAATTTATTTCAAGATGGCCACCACAGCAAAGCAATTTCTGCAAACACAGAAATGGCTAAAACACAGCCAACTTCACAAATAGACCTAAATTTGGTGTGGTAGTAGCTGAGAGTCATTTACAACACATACTTCAAGCACTAACGGGTCACACAAGATATTGCAATGTTACACAATATTGCAATATTATAATGTCATGTAATATTGCAATATTATAATAT